TCAGATACTGTCAGGGCAAGGTATTAAGAACCTCCAGCCAGTTCTCTGTCCAGTGTCTGCTGGTCTGTGAGGAGAGCACATCCTGGGGCTGCATGTCTGTGTGTAGTGGAAACAGTACATCCAAGCTGGTCGCACACTCCATAAGTAGTCACCATGATCTCTTTCCACTCCCTTGGGTTTCCTGCTCTAGAAGCTTTATTTTGTACAGAAGAAACAACCCTACTCCTTCCAAGCAAAAGCACTGGTAGTATATATGTGTTGAAACACTTGCAGTAGAGCATTAATTTTAAATCTATGCAGCATGCTGGCCTCTGTGAGTAAGACAGACCAGTTCAGCCAGTGTTACTTGTTTTGTCTTAACAATATGAGAGTTTCAGTCAAAACTAAGCTTAAAAAAAAAAAATCTTAATAGGAGTTTCCCTCATTGCAGCAAGAACTACAGGCAACATTTGCCACCGGTTGTATAATAACAATTTTAAAGGCCTCTCACAATGAATGCACCAGCCATCTAATAAGTATTTTCTGACCACTTGGCTGTTACAAAGAATAGTAGGACAATGATTTAATGAAAGATTTTTTAACAGCTCCCTTATTTATCATAGATGTGAGCTTATGCTGCTGTAAAGCTACAGTATGTACCACAGAAGTCACAAATTCTGAATTATTAAATCACCTGAGTTGCAGCAAAAACATTCTTACAGCAGACGCAATGTGGCATAATGTGGTAGGTGCACACTTAGTATTTCTAAGCTCCACTAAATCACAATGTTGTCAGGGAACACAAGCCTAGAGAAATTTGATGAAGTATTTTTTATGCTGTAGCAGCATAAAATGGAATTATAATATTAAATACTTAGAATCCATGTATGTTTTCCTTTATTATATATTTCAGATCTATTGTGTCACATAAGAGCACTGCAAAATATTTTCTACATTCAATCAGTAATGAACTGAATAAGACTACAATAAACATCCATAACTAATGTATTTACACAAAACCTGTAATTTTTTCCAAAGAATACATTGTATCAAAAATCAGTATGAACCTCCCAAAGTGACACTGGCTCTGTTCCAACTTCCAATTTTTACCAATATATGAGCAACCCTTTCAGACTTCAATATCTAATGCCAAAATTATTTAAAACAGATGCTAGATTTTATTGAAGCATTTAAACTTCTTTAAAAACCTGTAATGAATGGAGTATATTATTGTTTCATGTCAACATTATTTCCTTATTTATAAAGCAGTAATACTTAATAAAAAGATTCAAGGATGAAAATATTTGAAACACCCCACAGACACACTGAACTATACTTAGATCTCTCTTAGATCCTGCAGAAACAAAAATAATTGTGCAAACAGCAAACTTAAGTGGAAGCAGTTACTAATCCAACCAAATGAGATTCAAAATGTAATGAAATATCACACGATACTTACAGTTGTCCTACAGTCTCTATTTTGTATTCTTAATACATATTCATTAAATTATTTCAGAAGATTTGTGACTTCTTTAGTGAAACCATGGTTTTTCCATCTGGCACAAATTTTGGCGTGATATGTTTTTCTACAGCACCAACATCAATATGACACATTCTAATCACCTTGTTACTCAGCATCACTGATTAGCACAGCCCTGTAAACTCAGCCTCGTATATACTCTGAGACTGTTACTTTGGACTGCCTTGTAAAATGTTTTCTCTGTTTTTTGTCAGTATCACACATCCAGAATGTTTCACAGGGCTGTCCATTTCATTATAGAAAAATAATATAATAAGATCTTATCTTTAGCACCAAAGACCCCTGCATGCCCTATGACTCCAATGCCCCAGTTCTGCAAATGAACATGCTCTGCATTCCCACTACATATACTTGGTGGAATTCTTTTAACAAAACTTTCTAATCTAGAAGAGACTATTGCATCCAATCTGTCCATAGAGTCCCCAAAACTGAAGTATGCCTCGTTAAAGAGGCACTGGACTAGTTCAGCTTGCTGACTTCATCCTCTCTCTGCCTATTATTTCTTCCTATACATTAAAAACCATATGAATGAATGTCTGGGAAAAAAAGGGCAGAAAACTATCATGCAAATGACTAACATCAACCAGACTGCCTGACACCTGGAGCCTCCATGTAAAAGAAAAACCAACCAGACTGCATTTGTGATTCCTATGGGAATAACTGGGGCAAAGGCTAGAAAAAACAAAATAAATCAGGCAGACACTGGTGGCCATAACAAGGCAGAGCAACCCAGCCCAAGGTGGAAGTGGCAGCCAAGTCTCAGTGGTACTCCCTCTGCAACACAGTTGTCCCACTGCTTCCCTCGGTGCACATGCAGAAGCAATGCTAGCAGAGGGTTCCCCAGAACAGCTTCTGAAACACAATCTCAGACACTTTCATCTTCCTCCAGATCTGGACAGCACACAGTCTTCCATAATAAAGCTCCTGCACTCCTTCAAAAATCAGTTCCCTTTTCTCCACTAAAAAACTATAAAAAAAATCCCACCATGTAATTTACCCATTGCACAAACACTAACAAAACCTGTAAACTAACCAGTATCATTAGTCAGTCCTTAACACTTATCTTTCCAATTAGGGTGTCATTTATTCAAAGTTACACTTCACTGGTGTAAAGTAGCATACACAGAAATTCACATTTACCTAAGAATACTTCCTGATTCCAGAAAATCATAACATCACTTTCCGCTGTACAAACTTTGCCAACCTTTACCCTTATCAGTTAATATCATCTACCATGTGTGTTTAGCCCAGAGCTTAATATGTTTTAATAACTCAACTAGAAAACTAGGAAGCAATTATCTTCACAAGCTGAAGAACCAATTGTACCTCTTTCACTAGCAGCTCTAATCTCACCCAAAAGCGGCTTTACTATTCTACAACAAAGCAGAAAAAGTTACTACATTTCAAAATCACTACTCCTGCAAAACAGAAACACTTGTCAGACCACTTTGTGTGATCTTCATTCTTTTCCTGGGGACCAGCTTGTACAGGTGCTAGACAAATGCACACATAACCCCCAGGGTAAAGCTAAAATTCTATGTCCTAAGAGGTGGTTTTCCCATTTAGCTCCAGAGAGGCAAGGCCAGTCACTGCCTTACAGACTTGGACAGTCCCTACAGAGGAACAGACTCTGTTTAAAAAAACATCTTACATAAATGAACCTGGAAGGGCTATTTTAGCACATTACTTGCAAGAGCTGATGTCAAAAGATTTTAATTTGTTTAACAAAATGGTTTTCAGCTCATTTTCAATACTTAGTTATGCCCTCTCACTGCTCTGGTAAGCACTGTTTCTGCTCTTGTTTTCAGTAATTCTTGAAATCATGAAAAACGGAATCAGTTTCTACATTAACAAAAGTAATGTATCTTAATAGCACATAATCTGAATAAGCATAGTTTACTGAATAAAGAATACCCTGGAATAACGAAGCATTTTCATTTTAAGACTTCCCTAACTTTCCACTTCACCAGCAAACCAGTTTGACAACTTAAAAGCTCAGAAACACCAATACTTAGAAAAATTCAAGTGGCTCTGCTGATCTGCAGCTGATAAACAACTGTAGTAGCTCATCAAATGCACTAGTATTTGTAAACAGGAACAGGGCCTGGGATGCAGCAGGAGAGAAGCAATTCTGCAACTTTTGGGAGAAAAACATTTTTATGGGCTTCAGTGTTTATCAAAGTGAGATTTTAGCAAAAATGAAATTAAGTATGAATTATAATAAGACAAATATTAGATAAAAGTCTGAAAGAGATGGTCAAAGAAAACCACAGGAGGTAAGTGTCTTAAAAACAATTTATATTTGCTGTCTATCTGAAGAAACATTAATTCAGTTAATCAAAACCACATCAAAACATCACAGCTGTGACAGACAAAATACTCCTTTATTCCAGTGGGAAAGTTTGGTGCTTCAGGAATAGAGAATGACCAGATTATTAACAGGAAGAGAGGATAAAACAGGCTAAAAATAACATACTAAGATCCGAACATCCTATTATATATTCCATTATATATACTACATATTCTGATGTTAAGTAGTTACTTGAGAATAAACCAAGATAAATCAAATTAAGTTAGATATAGAAAACATGGAACTGGATCAAATTAACATCAAAGTATGCATTTTTATTTTTAAGTCTTTATGAGCTTCTGTAAAAGAAAATGAACAGTAAAAGTTCAAGAGAGCTAAGCATAACTTCTTATCCCCTGCTGTTTTGTCCAAATTTGAGACAAATCTGGAAAGAAACAATCTCTTCTCACTGAGAGCTACTATAATTATACTATAACAGAACCAAGAATATTAACTGTCATTTAGACACTCATACAAAACCTTAAGATGGATCTTGGAATTACACTTACATACTGCCAGTCAATTTTCACTAAAGGAAGAAAAGAAAATCTATGAAGCACACATAAGAACTATTAGCACAATATTTCAATACATAATAGAACAATGGCTCTCTTTTATCTTATCATTCAAGCATAATTCAACAGGACTAAAAATCCATGCAGATTGAACACATCACTCCCTAAAAAAAAAAAAAAAATCTCAGTGTGCAAATGACTTATTTTCCTCTTCTAGATTAGGCTAACAAAGATTTGATGAGTTACACTGACAAGAACTGATACTCATGCCACTGTATCAACAATAATAATTCACAGACAAGTAGGCTGCAGCTACAACACAGGTGAGACCAGAGTACATCCAAGCAATTTTAGATTTCAAAAACATCCACTGAAGGAATCATACGAGAACTTAAAAGAATCACCATTTATATTTTATGAATTTTTAAGAGATTATACTATACCAAGCATACATGATGACAATCACCCTGGCTTACTTAAGAAACTAAATTAGATTTTATATTGTAATCAAGTTGCTCAGAATAAAAAATATTTTAAAATTACCTTGTTTCATTGTAAGTGTTTTAGCAGGTTTGAAAAAGGCACTAATAAGTATACAAAATGAAGTCAATCATACCTTTAGCCACAGCTTCTTTATACTTTTCTTTGGCAGAATTTACTTCTTTTATTAGTTGCCTGTAGCTAGATTTAAGTTTCTCTAGTTCTGTCTTTGTGACCTTTAAGAAAAGAGAAATATAAAAAGTATTAAAAGTACTTATTCTCAACGTTAAAAAAAAATAACATTAGTAAAACAGAATTAACAGAATTTATTATCCAAGATAAGGATGCTACACTTTCCACCGGCTTGAGAAAATCTTAATAGGATATTATATGGTTCAAATTACATGGTGCAAAATCAAAATCAATAAATGCATGGAATTAAGTAAGAGCCCTAAGACACAAATCCCCATTCACATGAATGTAATTAAAAATATAGTCAGAAAATCCAGCTAATCATCGACAATATTCCATTCCAATTACAAGGCCAAAGAAAAATTGCTAACAAATCATGCTGGCTTAAAATGTCCTATGTATAGGAAGGAATTTTTTTTGCACCTAAAAAAACCCCAGAATTTTTAGATATTACACTTCACACAAATGACTAAGGAACAGTAACTTGACATGAAATAATCTCTCAATTGTAAAACTTAAACACTAAAAAGGAATACCAAACCAATAACCAAAAAAACTCAAACAAAAACCCAACTACAGAAGCAATCAACCAAATAGGAAACCTCTACCATGAAACTGAGCACTGAACATAAACATGTTTTTGGTGACAAAATTTTTCTGTTCTACCCCAACATTCACTCAGTGTGTGACAAAATTAGTGCAGAAATAATGAAATAACTATTGTTCAAAAAATTACTGTTCAGAAATAATCCCAAATCATGAACTTGCAAGCAAAACTCAGTAACAAACCAGCCATCATAATACCAAAAAAACCTACCATGTATTGTAAAGAAAAACAAAAAATTCTGACCCCCCCCCCAAAAAAAATCCAACAGAGTAACAGACTTCAATTGGAAAATCAAGGAAGATAAATTATTAACTACTTTTAACTGAAGTGCTCCTCTAAGTGAATGTGCAAAAAAAAGAAGTTCATTCTACTGAAAAATTGTTCCTCTTGTAGCTGGCAGGAAGAAGGCTGAAGTTCATAGTTTTCCCCTTTTTTCATGAGGCAAGGCCCAGATAACACTACTTTCACCAACATCTGAAAACTTAATGTAATTCCTTAAAGATCCAACAAAGTGTTGTCTACACTTCTATTTTTGGGCCAACTGTGCAATATTTAATTTGAAGGCAGAACCTTTTCTCCACATCAATCACATACACTCATCTCATATTTCTGCATTCTGTAAATTATACAGATCTGCTGTTACTATACACCAATAAAGGTGAGATAGGAGAAATAACTTTATGACAAACTTGTATTTAAAGACACCGTCACAAATGGAGGAAAAAAAGCAATTAGGAAGTAATGATCACAATAAAGACCTAAATAACAAGAACAGCTTCTCTTATAGAAAACCAAAAAATAAAACAGGGCACTAGCATTAGGAAACCTTTATAACAACTACATTATGATTCTGAGATTACGTTTTTCTAACAGATAAAACCAACACCAACAGCATGTCTGTACCCAAAGAACATTTAAGGAATTAAGATGGTCAAGGATTACGTTAAATTCCATTTTTATTTTAAAAGGTCTCAACCACCTAATTAGCACAGTATTCTACTTTTTCCCCCTCAAATTTCATTAAGAAAGAAAATTATTCAACATCTTAATAGAAACTGGAATAAATCTACAAGATACAAGTCTTATTACATTTATGCAAAAGCCATGTTATTTGACTGTCCTTAAGAATCTCCCCTGTAAGATTCCTCATTGTAGAGGTGTCTAGAATAAGAAAGGATTACATACATGCATTTCACCTAAACACATTTTTATGCCATCTTATCGTAAAAATCAGAGCTGCACAGACACTGATGTTCACAACCTTTGTATACTGTCCTGAGATATAATTGGCATATTACCTCTGCGCATAACAAAAGCAGAAATAATATCACAGAACATGAGAAGTCTTTTGAATTTCAGGGAATCATTCTTAAAGTGCTCCAGGTAAGGTACACAAAATATTGAACAATGTCAGCTAACAATAGGAGAACACTATTCAAATACTTCTTTGCAAATTCAGGAAGGGGAAAAAAAGAAAACAAACCCAAAAAACCTCTAACCAAACAACAATGCAAGCTTAATCAGCAGGATGCAAAATACATTCATGGCTATGCAGCCCATAATAAAATAAAGCCAATATGGTTTGTAATAATAATTTGGCAAATGCTGAGTTTGCATTATGGTTTTTTTGGAAAAGTCTTATTCTAAAAGACATTTTTATTAGAGGTTCTATTAGAGTTTGGCCTATTAACAGAAAACAAAACATTGCATAGTCTCTTTTCAAACTATACCTGAACTTCCAGCAGTCTTAACTCCATTCCGCCTTTCTTTCTTATCTTTCTTTTTATCTTCCTGCAACTCTTTGTAATTTTTATTATTTCTATCACATGCTACCAGTTTTTCCTCTTCTTTCGTTCTAACATTTTTGAGATACACCAATTCATAAATAGCAGCAAATGATTATTTGGCTTGAAGTTTTTCAGATAATGACAGCCAACAGACCATGCATCAAAAAAGACATCGCCACAGTCCCTACCTGAGGAAGATGCCAAGATTCTAGCATGTTAGGGAAACAATCTTATTACAGCCAATGTATTTAATTTAAAATAGTCTTAGTTTAAATACAGAATAGCTCCAAGTTCTTCTCATAACTGGCCCAAGAACTTTTTACTCGTCAATCCATGACAGTGTTACTGCTTTACTCAGATGTTACATTTTAATTACATTACTTCAAATCCCAAATTCTCTGCTGGAAGAAAGAAGAAACAGTGCTTTTCCTTCTCTCAGTAGACCTTTCAGACTATTGCTCTGATTTTTGACATCTGTAGCTACATTTCCCCCAGAGCATCTGAAACTGATTTCTGTCAGCTTTACTGACAAGATACATCACTTTGAACACAAGCAGGATAACAGATATGTCATGGAAAACACTCTGAAGAGTTCCACCTGCAGCCTCAATGTTTGGTTTACACTTGCTTTATATTTTAGAACAGGGACTAGAACAGCCTGTCTCCACCCAAAAGAGTCTGGACTGCCAAGAGCACTCATTAACAACAGTTTACAGTGCCCAATTTCCATGAATGCCTAGAGTGGAATTAGAACAGAAAGGAGATGGAATAGAGAAGTGTCACACAAGAATTAATTATCCTCTACTAACAGAGCATTTCCAGTGGTATCTGTCCACTGAAATTCATATGGAAGAAATTTTTCATCTTTGTCTTATTAGCTATCAGGAAAGAAAATCTGTGTAGAAAATTATTAAAATTTAAACTAAGCATTCTACATATCACCCACTATGCTCCTACCACAGTATGAACAAAACCCAAAAAAAATTATCTTAATTTAATATTTTTAAACACAGAGATTTATTATCAATTTATCAAGCACAGATGAATAAAATACCTTATACATCTCTGCTTCAATTTGTTGGTGAACACCTACAAAACTCTTCTTAACTTGCTGCTTATCTTTGATCATCATTGTAAGCCTATGCAAGGGCCCAGAATTAAGATCCTCGGCATGTGTCTTCATTATTTTGCTCAGTTGTTCTGTTTGTTGTACCACAAGCAACCAAGACTATAAAAAAGTCAGAACAGAAAAGCACTTATTAATTTCAGCTCACAACCAAACAATTATAAGAACTGTGGGAAAAGATGCATCGTTTTAAAAAAAGTCAGTAAAAGAACTAACTTTAAGCTTACCCAAATGCATTTGAGATCCTCCTGCAACTGCAAAGTCATGATTCAATCTCACTCATAAAATCATAAAAAAGCACCACAGAAAAAAATACAGCATTGAATAGTCACTCTTCAGCACTGTCCTAGTATTTCTGAATCCTCATAAAAGCACTGCAGCCTTATTTTTTTCTAATATAACCCCAACACCCTAAGAACCATGTTGCTACATCCTTTGTCCTCTGTTTTCCCCCCCACAGTTGCTCTGCCCAAGCTGCCTTCCACACCTTTGAGTGAATACCTGACAGCAATGTGCATTTGAGGAGTGCTGGTTTAAGAGGACATCAGTCAGGCCACCAGCACCAAAGCACAGACAGACACAACACCCATCCATCACTGTAACCCAGCATCCTTCTGTACTCTTGCTTTAATAGCTTTCTTGGACAGTCTGCCAGTTTTCAGGATAGCTTAATGTGCTGTGTGTGGCTTTGAATACAGATATGCTTCTACAGATATCAGAGACACAAACGTGCCACAAATTAAACTTCAGTTCAAATAAAAGCCTTGGCTACACTCAAGATTGCTGTCACACGTTGGATTCTTTAAAGATAACTCCCTGACAATGAATGCTGTGCTAAGACTTCAGAGTGGCTACATGCCACAGAATTACAAGGTTTTGAAGGCAGCTAGCATATGACTTCTATTGGCATTTATCTTTTTTGTTACTAAAACAGAAATTAACCTAAGATAAAAACTTTGGAAAATCAATTTGTTTCTTAGTTTTGGGGTTTCTTCATATCCTGTATACCAACCTATACACCTAATATTTCCATCTCTACATGACAATGCTGCAACAGAGACAAGAGTCTAGAGAACAAAAGAAAATAAAATTGATTCCCCTATACACTGGACTATCTTAAACATTTCTTCCAGCTTGTAAATATCCCACAGATTGGCACAGAGATATCTGGACTGCTTAAAGTGTAATGTTATAAAATGTCAAGGCCCAAAGGTTTCCTGCTATGGCTGGAGACCATTTCAGAAGCCATACTGCAAAGCTGCATAGGATAAAACAGCATTGAACACCTCTGTGAGAAGAGTGGGCCTTTGTGGTTACAGAACAGTTCACAGAAGTGCTCTCAGAAGTGAAAATGTAGTCAGAATCATCCATTTTCTATAAGGCTCATTTATTACTGATGAGACAACTACTGTTTAATACCAAAAAATCACACCGAAAGCATTTTTCAACAGTGCAGGTATTCTAAGCAAATGCTTAGTTTACAAGTCACCAAATTAGCTTAAATAAGCCAGAAACATAGCAATTACTTCCCTTTCTATTAAAAAAAATTTGCATATTTCCCTGTTATTTACATCACTCTTTCCATCAGGAAAATGGGAAAGTGATGTTTCCATAGGGAAATAGCAGTAAAGCAGGATTTCTGTGCTTTGTATGGTTATATTTTATTACTTTGAATTAGAAGAAGGTGAAGTGAAAATGCTTCCATAGCAGAGATTTATATGGGACAAAAAAGCTGGGTGGGAACGGCAGAAAAGGTAAAGCATTTCCTTCCACAAAAAATTACCACAGTCCAAATGTAAATGCAATAAAACATATTATTGTTTGGTTTAATATTATTTTTCAGACATATGCACACACAAAAGTGCAGTCTGAAAGCTCTTAAGAACACCTCTTTTCTAGCATTATCAGTTGCTGCTAGCATGCCTTCCAGCAAGTTTGTTGTCTTCACATGAAAAAAAATCAGAAGACAGATTTTCCCAAACACCATTTCTCTCTAAGTGTTCACTCTTACTGTATGCTTAGAGATACATCAACACAAAACAAACAACCATAACAACAAAACCAACCAAACAAAACCCATTAAAAATTAAAAAGCTTGCTATTGGTTTTTAATGCCACAAAATGCCAAATAATACCACAATAACAAAAACAGGTATTTAATATCTTAGAAGATGTAAGAAATTAGATTCATGTACCATATTTGCATCATTCTTTGGTTCTGTAAAATGACAGGAAGAGCGAAAAAAGTACCACAAAATATTAAAATAAATTAGAATGAGATTAGTAAAAAATCAGTAATTCAGGCTTTTTAACTGCCAAAATCAGTAACATAATGTGTCACTACACAACTACAAAATCCAAGATGTCACTGAAATTATAAGACAAGCCCATATAAAAGATCTGCCAGTCCAGATTAATATTTTTGCTGTTAAAATGTAGAAAACAGAGAAAATGTAGAAATTAGAGATGCAACTTAGTGAAAAATTACACCTCCTTAAGAGAAAAAAATAAAAAGGGAATGAAAATCATGCTGAAGGACAACTTGAGCACTTCTGTTCAAAACAAGATTTCCAAATGTGCCATGCATGCCTCTTTTCAAGCCAAAAAGAACGTGGCTTAAGTCAGACCTCCAGATTTTTTCAATTTATCTGCTCACAAGAAATGCTCATGTTATTAACATGAACTGTCCTAGACTGAGATACCTATGTGAAGGTTAATGGTTTTTTAAACCTTATAACACTAAATACTCTGAGCCAATTAAAAAAAAGGGCAGTATTTCAATTTGCAAGGCAAGAATTGTTGGGAGGGAGGGAGGCAACAACAGAACGTGTGATATATAAACACTGCACAGTGCTGAAGCAGCCTAGCTATAGCAGCACAGCCTTCAAGTCACACAGAGCCACTTTAACCCTGTATACATCCATCCTGCTGCACAAGGAGTAGTCCTGTTCCTAATGCTACACCACAGCCATTGTTCAAGCAGCCACCTCATAAGCCCATGACATAAAAAACTGCTTTGTCTGAAATTTAACCTGACCCAGAAAGGGTGTTTTCCTGCAGAGAGAAAATAAGGATTCATGCCAGACTGAATGCACTGTGTAACCACTGCTACAGAACAAGGGCCAAGAACTGAATAAGCCATCAAAACAGAATAGTCTTCTCTTGTCAGTAGAGAATCCAGGTCCAGAGTAAAATTTTCAAACAGGTGATAAGGGAAGTTTGCTTCATTATTACATTTACTTGGACTTGCTCAAAGTCTAAAAACCAGTAATTTGGAACAGACAGAACAGACAGCATTACCTTTTTGAAAGTCAACACGGTTATTTAAACAGAATACAAAATAACCTCACAAATATGAGAAACATCCTGAATTAATGTTTTGTTCTTGCAACACATGCTGCACTGTGAGTAACAGCTGGAATTCTAGCCTTTGCCTTGGTTTCCTGGCATTTTTTCTATTTCTGTCACAAATTCTATACAACATAAACAATAGCTCCTATCTTAAAAGAAAAGCTTACTATGGCATACTTGATTTTCAAAGCACTAAGCAAAGAAGCAGGCTCAACCCATTTATGTAAAATACTGAGTTTCAAAAATTGGGATTGATTCTCATTCAGTTAATTTTTTCAAAGCAAGACTAGAGCTCAACTTCTGCATATTTCACTGAGAAATTAAAAGAATCCATTTTAAATGCTTTGGCAATATTAACTCACAAGAAACTGAATGGCTAGTAATCCAACTCAAACCAAAAAAAAAAAAAACAAAAAAAACCCAGAACCAAAGGATATTCCAAATTCAAACTTCAGACTTACCTTGGACACATTGCTGATATAATCCAACTGACAAGCACTCTCTTTATCTACTTGGTTACAAAGATTCTGTAAAGTGGACGCATATTCTTTATCACTTTTTACTCTCATGACCATAAATTTCTTCACTGTTTCCAGTAGTCGTAGTTCCCAGTCTTGCAGTTTTAATAGAGCATCATGAGAATACTTCAGGTCACCTCCAAACCCCATTTTTTAAGGCACAATATACCACACAGGGGAAAATACAGGCTCTTCACCACATCTGAAAGGAGAACAAGACTGATGAGACAATTATCAAAAGAAAAACTTCTGGTGAGACAAAGAGCAACTATAGATGCCTAAACACTGAAATTACCTCATCATAAGATTAACCACATACATTAACCTCCTCAGTATAAACTGAAAGTAAGCTCAGAGCACTGTTTTGAACAACAAATTCTGACTGCAAGATTTCAGCCTTAGAATTCCAGTTTCCATTTCTGCAAAAACATCCCTCCCTAACTTACAGTATGAAAGAAAACAACAGCGTCTAAGACAAACACTTAAGACCAATCTACATATTTAACCAAATAAGTACAGCTAGCAATATCTTCAGACAAGCTGCCAGCTGTATCTTTCTACTCCTGCTGACCTGCAATTTTTGTCATGTTTACTGTCATAAGAGCACAGAAAAATCCACATAAAACACCAGCTCTCAGGCACTGCATCTGTGGGAAACTGATAACTAGAAGCTAGTTTGCTTCAAAACACTGTGTTAGTGGGCCATAAAACCAGCAGATTCAACCTCCCAAAAAACAGAAACTATCCCAAAGCAGGTTTCCCATCCAACCATACACTGGTCCCCTGGGTCAGAGTTCTTTAGTTCACACCATTTTACCCTAGACAGTCCAGTCTTATTGTACCAAATTGACATAAAATAAGATTGATAAACAGGTAAGAAATGCTGCCTTATGAAATCCTGTAGCAGAACCAAAGGTCAAAGACATATTGCTAGAGTTAGCTTTGAAATACACGTATCTGACACTGATAAACACACATCTACATTGTGGAAAAGCTGAAACCACACAAAGAATTCCTACACACTCTTGCACAAGGTTTTCTAATGTGGGCTGAACCCTCTTTTCTGTGTACATACCAATCACCTATTCCTATACTAAACAGCTTCAACTAGGTAAGATAAACTAATATAAACTGCAACCCTTACCTCTGAACTGCAGTACAGCCACTGCCTGTACATTGCCTATTCACTAATTCCTGCACTTCAGCAAAGTCTTGGTTCTTTTTAACACAGAAACACCAATTTCTTCACAGGCTTTACACACTACCACTTAAAATAGCAGTGTTCTAAAAACACTAACAAATTTATCTATTTATCTTCCAGTGGTCCATTGAGGGAAGTAGGACTAATATTCTTATTTTACATTAAGAACTGAGACACATACTGATGTCAACATTGTGGCAGCTCATACCAGTATGTACAAGGCTTAAAGACAGACTATTCAGAGTGCCTAGCATTTTTAGCATGTTAGGTATTCAGAAAAAATAAATATGTCACTGGCTTCAGTTACTGCACAAAATTTCTGAAGATTTTGCAAATCAGAATCTCGAGCACCCTCTAAAATAAGCTTCGTGTACTATGTGTTTATCTTCAGAACACAAACCATGCTACATAACAAAACAAAGATCCAATAAAGAAAACTAGAACAGGACCACATTACTATGTATCGACACAATACAGATAAGTCAAAGCTGTATGAGCAACCTTAAACCTGAAAGCTTCCATAAGATCTTTAATTTGAAGCTGTATATTTTCATCAGAATTATTCCTGATGGCTAGAAATTCAGTCATACATAGCAACAGTAAATAGTTTATGTTAGCTGTATTTATGAACTATGTCACTGTTAGTAGCAATATGAAAATACCTCCACAGTTAAAATTGAGGAACACTCTTGCATAACCACAAACACTTTAGCAACATGAACCAAAGAAAAAAAATCTTAAAAGTCTTGTTTATTAACATGACTAAAGCTGCAGTAGTGAATTTTCTACGCCCTTTGGATCTAGATCCAATCTCATCTTTTACAACACCATTTTAGCACATTACCCAACTCTCCTAACACAACAGCTGTGAGAAAAGACAGTATCCTTGTTTCTTACATCCAGATTTAGAAAAGATGGAAGCTGAATCTCACAGTGAAGTTCAGCCTTGTATTATGAGTAAAGAAATGGCTTGCTTGCTTTTACCCTAGCCTCTGTTTTTTACTGAGAGGCAGTATGGCAAGAGAAGTAGGAAATATTCTCAGCACGTGATATTTGTCTGCTTCTAGTGACCTACAAAGGAGATCTAGGATTACAAAAATCAATAGAACAAAAGACCCGACATATCCCACTCCAGCCTGCTAAGTTGTTCTTCATGAAGCAGTAACCACATTTTTTTCTAATGCCAACATTAGATGCCTAGATACATAGGCAAAAATTGTACACACACTGGACTCCAATCTTCGTTTTAAATTACTCCTTTCACTGTGACAGAAGCAGCAAAGCAAAAGATTGTTTTGCAAAAGTGGTAAAATTATTATTTGCTAAAACTAACAAGCATAAAGACTCAGAACTGATGATTCCCAAATGGGTAAGCCAGCTGCCATGTCATTTCCATGTAAATTGAGAAAATGTTCAATCAAGACATCAGCCAAATACTTTATTGTGGAGGTGAAGACGTAGTGAAGAAGTATTCAAGACCTAAGCCACTTAACTAAGCTTAAGTTTTGAAAAACTAAAACCCGATTCTGTAATTTAAAACCACTTCTGATTTTTAATTTTTTTAGTAATTTTAAACAATTGAAAACAAAACAGATCACACAGTCATTAATTTGAAGTAAGAACTGTAAGGTATACCAAACTCATGAACACACAAATCTGATTTTCAAATACTCTTAAAAAACACAGGCACATTTTGAAAGGCCAGTGTACGAAAATACAGTATCTGGCACCAATACAGACAGGTATTTTTCCAAATTTGCTATCTCCCTTGTTAATGATCACAGAGATGAGAGCTGCCCTACATGGTCAATACAATACAACAGAGTATTTCAGTCAGAAAGGACCTACAGTGATCACCCAGGCACAGTAATGCATTTAGATCAGCCCTGTGTCTCCACCCATGGCACCAGAAGACATTTAAGAACAGCAAACTACCTGGGCTGCTATTCGGGGTGTGATTCTCCTTGTGCTTCCCCACGTTCACAGCTACTGGATTATGAAATACTAATATTCCCATATTTTTAGGCTTTACCCTACAACATTAAAATATTCACAATGAAAGACAAAGATTCCCAGGCAGATTTTGCAACCACAGACTACAACCAAAATTCAGAAATTGGCAAAACCAGCAAAATCTGAACTCAAAAAAGTTTTAATGTGGAACTGGTATGAGATATGGGGAGTTTGAGACACACGCATACTTTCTTCTTTAATGTTCAAAAGATGAAAAACATTGTGATAGCTATTCTGGGGGGGAAAAAATCTCAAAAAAACATGGGAGAGTGTTTTATCTTAATAGAAAAAACAGAGATGGCATAATGATTTAAAACAAGCTAGACAGAGAGGTGATAACAACAAAAAAGTAAATTCATACAGAATTAAATTAATACAGAAATTCATACAGAAATAAAAGCCTTCAGGAATTGCTTTACTCTTACAGTGAAGAGATTTCTTCTGTTTCTGGTAGATACCCATGAGGTTTATCTCTTTTTCCACATGTGAACAAAGCTTACATAATTTGACATGCCAGTCAAGTTTCAAACAGAATTGTAGCATATTTTGTAAAAGCAATAAAATACCAGCACCACCATATTAGACAAATGAATTTCAGCTACCTCTTTATATTTTGAAATATTATATATGTATATATATATATATATATATATATATATATAAGACATATAATATCTGTTATAGACATAGATATAGATGGCTAAAAAATTACTGTACATGTAAATTAGTCAAAAAATATTTGTTAAACTTAGGAGTAAAATATGTCTCACAGTCAATTTCAAGAAAGTAGGACTTTCTTTATAGTGTTACGCCCAAAAAACAAACTAATCATTCACAGGAAGTACACACTGAATGTACATTTAAAAGGATAGTGCAAATGAGCAACCAGATCTCAAACTGTTCTAAATTTAAGCAGCATTAACAAAGACAACTTAAAATTTCTCTCAACCACCAACACAGTGGTGCAGTCAGATTCCAAACAAATCAACGTTAAATTTTTTCAGCCTAACTGAGAAACTTCAAGGAAGTTGATAGTCACATAATATTTCAATACTGTAACACTCCCTCCAGGAAATAAAGCCAGTATTCCAGTTAGTCTTGCTACTGGATTCCAGCAGCAATTCTGAAGAAAGTAGTTTGCATAACCAATGTACATTTAATTTAAAGATTGCAATCTGTCTGTGACATGTGAAAGTGGCCATGCTGTGTCAGACCAAAGCCTGAGATCAAATGAGCAAGGAAGAGCAGAGCATGTACAATGCAACACAAGATGCTCTCCTACACTTGTAACAACTGGTGTCTTCTGCTACATATTGCCATCAATTATATCCAAGGTTGTGACTTTATAAACCTGTAATAATGATGGATCTACCCGCATCAGTTTGAACGTGTGATTTCACAGTACCAGTGACAAGGTAGGCAACTAAAAAACTATAAAACCAGAAAGCACACCTGATTCTTAATTAAATTCAGAATAGGAAAGTACATCACAGATCTGGATTCTCTTATCCTTCATATTGTAACCATGAATTTAGATTATTCCTAAATTTGCATGGGCTCCAAATCATAGAGAATACAGAATGTCTCTTATTCTGCAAACACTTTCTACAAACATTAAAAATATCTCAAAATCAGAAAATAAAGATTATTTGGATTCAGGAGACAAATCCTCAAAATCAAAGCTTCTATACCAAACTAAAAACATTTTTACAATAGATTATCAATTTGTTAGACAGTTCTTCTCAATTTCTCAATGTGAGACTTACAGTAGTTATATTCCATTAAAATAATGAAATAGATTGTTTTCAGCGCTCCATCCACACCTTAAATAAAAATTATAGAGTCAAACAATTGACATTCTGTTAGTGTAGCATCCATTCCTGGAATGAACAAGACCATGAAACACAAAACACATGCATTACCTACCATTTGTTTACACTAATCACATATTCATAAGACCATCTTTGTACATACAGATATCATGTATACAACATAAACTAGTAAAACTAATCCTTCTGCAGAGCTTTTGCCAACAATAAACATCTGAAGGAGTTACACAAGTTTGCCTGATTATTTCAAAGCTGATTTGAAATACTGGTCCACTCAAAGCAAAGCAGGCAGCTAATTTTCAGGAAGGCTTTTCTGCAAAGCATAACTTAGCCAACATACCTTAAAAGTTTTCCTTCAGAAATGTCCTTTAGTACAGTTTTCCTATGTCAGCAGCTACTTCCTCTGATTTTCACCTACTGAAATATACTTTTTTTTTCTTTTCTGAGGACTCTGTGAAAGAAAAACATATCAAACTTCTTTTTACTATCTCACCATTTTCAAATACATTGCAAAACTCAAACTTAGGTAAGTTGCCCTGCATTTTCAGATTATTACAAGAATACAGTTTTAAAAAAACAAAAGTTCAACTAAAAGAGCAGATCTCTCTAATGACTGCCAGCAGTAGTATGCTATCACTTCATACACATAATTTTGAGTGAAGAAATAATTTTGCCTCTATGCATGTAAAAAAATATTTTTCTTTAAGTTCTTGGAATTTCTTATGACAAGTATACTGTAGCTGAAAAATCTGACAAATTTATTTATTTATGAACCTTCCCCTTGGTAAAATGAAAAGAGAAACTTATTAAGGAAAATGAAAGCACAGAAGGCCTAAGTTTGTTACATGAAAGACCAAGTTATTAGTGGTATTTTTTATAAAGGTGGAAGAAAACAAGTGGCAACAAGAGAAAGGAACCCCTCATTACACATAAAATTCTATCTAGCTCTAGCTACTCTAATATCTAGAAAAGTAGGGGGTCAGGAAGTTAGGATGATTAGCAAGACCAAAACTTCAAACTGTAGCTCTGGACCAAAATTTAGGTGAAGCAAACCGACACAGAAGGGTTTTGAACGTTTGTATCAAGAAAAATATATATTTGATTTAAAAAATTGTAAGAAACAAGCTTTGCACAGCTTACAAGTAAGTGCAAGGTATACTGTATAATCTCTACGTGTGGACTCATGATAAGTATTCACTCACAATCTCACTCTACAATGTCCAACTTCAGATGAGACATTCCATAACAGTTTAGCAACGCCTTCATAGGAAAAAACACATAAAGCAAAACTGAAAGAAAGACACAGTGTGTAGGGGTGAAGAAAGCAAAACTATTTTCAAAATCCCCATTATTTAAAACAAAGCACTGATCACAGACACGATCACAAAATCTTACGAAGGGACAATCTTAGTTCACATTCAAGCAGGCATTATTTAGTATTCCTTTCTCGTTACTTAGTGACATTTGAGAAACAAAGATCTGCCTAATATAAATACAAAACTTCTATTTGCCATGACCAAAAATAGAAAAGTCTAAGTGATGCTAAGATTCAGGCACTGAAAAGGAAAAGCAGATATGGAAGCAGATACAAAAGGAGGAAAAAACCACAGGATAAGCATTATAAAATTCATCACATTTCTAAGAAACAGATCTAAAATCATTTGTTCCAAAGTTGCAAAGCCCAAGGGAAAGCCTCCACTAGCAAAAAAGTACAAGCAACAGCAAAACATTAGAGTAAATCTGGCTCATCTTACTAGCACAAATACAAACGGGGTGGAAACACCAAACTTGTCACTGGACAGGAACATAAATCCTAATCCCCATTCAAATGGGCCTCGTGAAAGTGGAACAAACATCACCACCAGCACCTGGGCACATTCAAGTTTCATAGAGATGTTAAGGACTGCACATGGCAAAATGAAGCCCACAAAAAAAATCCATTTATTAAATGAAACAACAGATTGGAGCCACTTCAACACAAAAAAGTTCTATCTTCTGCTCCCTGAACACAAACAAAGACACACCATTTTTTCTCTTTTTAAAGAACTATGCTGTCATGTATTTTAGAGTGCAAAATTTTGTTTTTTCAATATGAAAACTAAATTCAAAACCAACTTTTCTTTAGAATTCCAGTTACTATTAACTTTTTACCTATGTGCATTTTTTCATCTGCATACAGGTCATTAGTAGAACTTAAACCTGGTAATGCTAGTCCAACACAGGTCTAATTGATAGACATACACTAGCTAGTACATGGAAGCATAATAAAAGCTTTCCAGTGAATTGCACAGCCATCTGTCAGAGGGCAATAAAATCTCACAACATTTCCACTGATATTTCTGAGCCCAAGCATAGCTGAATCTGATAGTTACAAACATGTTGCTACCTCAATGCAATTATTCACTAGCTAAGGAAGGTATAAAAGACAAATTTATAAGAAGATAAAGACAGAACACAAAATTTAGATGACCTGTCATCTTCTGAAATTACTAACAAGACAGCTAAGGCAAGTCCCCAAATCAGATCCTCTTTACATTTAGGATACATAAGGCATTTTCTAAAACTGAAGCATCCGAGATGCAATTACAAATATCAAATTAGTAGTAAGAATTCACCTGAGTCAGATGCTATTGAGCCAAAGTATTGAACAACAGCTATCAAATTTCCAAAATATTAATTCTGCAAAAACTTAGGCTTAAAGTGAGCCAAACAAAGAATAATCAAGAGTAGAAAATATATCAAATTTTCTTCAGATGGGACAAGGCAATCAGAAGCACAACACAGTTTAACTCTGATGCTGCACAAGGTGGTTAAAACCATGCCTAGAATTTATAGACTAGAATAACTCAAATGAAAAAAAGAACAATGCAGCTTTTACAGAGCAAAATCATGTTTCACAACTTGAAGAGTTCTGTGAAGGCATCAAGCATCCTGTGGGAAAAGGTGTTGGAAGTAGAAGTTTCTACTGATGTCTCTGATAGGAAGCTACCAGAGAACTGAAGACCTTGCAAAGTAAGACTTAAGAGACAAAGACTGACAGGAGAAAGAGCTTAGAAGCCTCTCCATAATCTGGGCCAGAACTTGGGCTGCTCTTCAGAATGGTTACCTGCCTATACATCATTACAGAAGCATCTGTGCTTTATACAAAATTATTATGACTCATCAAAATTGACAGATCATTACAAAACTTGCAAAAACCTCAGAATACTGAGCAGCAAGCACAGAAAGCAGCAGATGAAGTCACATGTCAATAAATGCAACACAATATACTGGTTAAGGGTTGTTTAATAATAGTACCAGAAAAAGTTGTAGCAGTCTCTGAAGACACACCTTTGAAAGACATTTGTTCAGTGCTTTCAAGCAATCGGGTTAGAAACCATCCAGAATAATACATAAATATAACATATTTAAAAAACATAACATGCCCTTATGCTGCTGATACATTAATGGTATTCCTATATGTCCAAGTGCTTCTAGCTAAAGAAAAACATAAAGCACCAAAGAAGAATATTGATCATAGCATGTAGCAGCTTACACACAGAGAAAAGGTAATTTTTAGCTCACAAAAAAGGTAAGAATGACAGGTGTAAGATCAAAGAACACGAAAAGAAAAAATCATTATAGCACAAAGTGATATGATATGTCAAATGCCTGAAGTGTTTTCCAGAGGAACTTGAGAACATCAAATGAAATTTTTAAAAAGTTGCTCTTATATCCTTCTTTGCCCAGTAAATAATTAAATTAGATAAATCAATACCTACAGACATTTCTGAGACCATGAAACAAAGCAGTACAAAATTATTATAAAAATTAATTTTAAAAAAACAGATCTGTAGAACAACAAGAGTTCCATCTTAAGATGTCTCTAAACTCTAAAAGCAGAACAGGAATTATTACTCTACATTTATGCCAACACCCCTTCTTATCTGACAGTAGCAAGTACTGTTTTACATGGATTTTACTTGGTCATGTACAAATATCCTCAAACAGTGGACTCTCATTCTCCCATCCATGCACCTGTAGGAAGACCATAGTTTTCCTCAGCAGTTCCTCTAAAAAAAAAAAAAAAAAAGCAAAACAGATAGAAGCCCAACAACACAGCTCCCAGGTTCTCTGCCTAGAATCACAAGATGCAATTCTAGTTTTTTCAATCCTTCATTCTAAACTATTTTATAAACCACAGCTGTCCTCTAAACAACCTGGAACTGGTCACCATCTCACATAAGAAGTCTGAAGCTGAATCAGTGAGGCAGTGTAGGACCAACCAACTCTGACAAGAACAGAAAGATTTGTTTATATTACTTGCAAGCTCCTTGCCCAGGTACTTACCCTCTTTCTAATAACTTGATAATGCATCACTATTTGTTCATTAATCAAAAATTCATGTTCTTTTTCCACTTTTTCTTCCCCCACCACACATCCATTCTGTCCACCCTACAGCCAACCAGTGAGCTTTCACACTCACTGAACCTTGCTTTATTCCAGATGACATGTCCCATTTTCCAAGACAATTCTGAACAGTAATCTCATTCTCCACCCCACCTTCAGCTGTTTGCTACTTCCCATGGTCTGGTAACCTTCTCGGCATGTTCTTTATCATCTCAGGCTTTCTGTGAAAAAATGGGCAAAGGGTAGTGATGACATCTGGTAGAGAACATGCAGGAAGTGCTTTTTAGGTGCGTGCAGTTACTCAATCAGTTTTGTTTCCACCCTGCAGAAGTTTCTACCTCACAGTCACAGCTAAATATACACATACTGAATTCTCACTGGTGAGATTCACACTGCATCTCACCAGGCAGACAAACAAGAAGGTGGAGGCAGATACAGGCTAAGAAGAAAAGAGCTAGTCTAGTGGACACAAGTTACATCCTGTCACTAATGCTTTAAGACTCTTCCCTTGTTAACTCTGAAAAATTGACAAAGTAAGCCACACATGCTTCTTTTGCTTTCAAAGGTAAACACACCTAGTAACCCATCACCTTTCATGTGTTTACAAAAAAAAAGCTTTCCTTCCTCCATTTTTCCAAGAATTACACTTTCTCTAAATTCAGCTCCAGGACTCAAGGAAAGGCAAAGAAAAGCATGGCCTCAATAAAGAGTTTCTGACCAACAAATTTTCACTAACCTATCAATTCTGCAGTGTTGCAACACGTATCAACACTCTAGATCCTAAAAGAGAAATGGATTGAGCAGGATAAGGCTGCTAGAAGTGACTATCTCAGGGCAGGTACTGCGCATCTGCAGCCCTATTAACCAATTCTATCAGCTAAAGAGAAGGGCAGAATTACAAAGAAATACTGTTAAATAATAATGTTAATAATGTTAATAATGTTAATATCTCCAAAAATTGGCCACAAACTGAAAACAGAATAAAAAATACATCAGTGACTCAAGCTCACTTAAAGTGTATATTATAGAGTATAGTAAAGAAACTTCTAAGTAAAAAAAGAG